TTCCAAATATAACAAGTCTCTTAGCACAGATGCTCGGTAAATTTCTTCACCTTATATATATTTAGATGGAGTTTTACGTGCTTTTCGGCATACTGCCAAACAAAGGGAAATTAATCATTTTCCTTGAAAATGATTTTCACGAAAAGCATTTTTCTTTATCATGAAATTTTTAGCGAAACATGTGCATTCTTATTCACATTCTCCATTCCGTTGTCTCTCGAGCAGGACGAACCCCGCAATACCATGGAATCGATCAAGTCCATAATGAAGATGAAGGAGAAAGAAGTAGCACCTTCTTCCTAACTACTAGAAAACGCATCCTTCAACACTCCCAACATGCAAAACCATGTAATGTATTGTGGTGTCTAAGAAATATGAGAAGTACACACTGTTGGTCTTATTCTAATTGGTTTCTTCCAAAATACGCCAAATGGATGACAGCCCCCCCTTAAGGAAGACTCCTCAATGAAGACCAAGCTCCGAACTGGCAAGGAACATGAACTAAGCTTATATGACTGAGAGTTGAGCAAAACAAAAGATTAGGAACGAAAAACTCGGATAAAACAAGTAAAAAAACTTGCAATTTGGCTGAGTGTGAGTGTCCTTCGTGCTTAAGACGTTCTTTCTGTTGCCATGAGCCTCTTAGAAATTCACCTCCACATTCGAAGACTTGTTCCTCGAGTTTTGGACGTGTTCCTTAAGTTTTGGATGCGGCCCCATAGGCTGTTATCGATCTTGGACGCGCCCTTATAGTCATGAGCCTTTTAAATCTCATGGAAATGTGCTCCATCCTTAATAGACTTTAAACAAGTAATAATATTCAATATCCTAGAAATATGCTACAACAATTAATAGACTAGTCACAATACATTTACAGTTATCGTTTGTCATACTAATAAAAGAGCACGTGCGAAGAAAAAGCTTGAATATGTTTGGGGAGAGACAAATTTTTGAAATAGCTGACAAATTTAGGGAACGAATATAAATGATTTCGTAGAATGACAAAGATCTACGTTCGACTTTAAAAAAAAAAGGATAGCTATTATATAAATTTTCTTATTTAGATTGCAATTTTGTCCATTTTGTAATACCATGTTATTATAGTACACCTTAACTAGGGTATTTCTTGGAATTCATTAAGAAACTTTTGAGGTTGAAACCCTGTAGGGATTGGTTGGATAAAGTGGAGATTTATTAGGGCATTATGATTGGTAACTTCCTTAAACGTGATCGGCCTCATAGATCTAGATAAGTAATTCTCCTAATTGGGCTGAATCTCGTGCTTCTACTTTGGCGGGCCCGAATTGAATAGTCATATGGATCGGGTTTAAAATTCGAAAATAGGCCTTCAAACCCAAGTACCAACCACATTTAGTATCGGGCCTTCAAACCCAACACTTCGAATTAGGGCATAGGATAGGTGCACATGTATAGTCGAGTTAGTCTTTGAGTCAAGCCGATACTGCATGAAGCTCGATCTCGACACTCGACTCGACTCGCACATTCAATGCTTAAAACTCGACTTGAACTCGATTGAGTATTAGAATTCTTGCTTGATCTCGGCTCGTGTATACAATCATTTCGAAATGGAGCTTGAGGTCAATCATGAAATGCTAGAATATTGTGAGTCCGTTATGGAATTTTGAGGATTTTTGTGTCTCTTTGTATGACTATCAAATATTTCTTAAACAAATAATAGAAGCTCGATTATGGTTGTGAGCCTAGCGAGCTTCGTATTAGTGAGCTCAAACTTAGACTCAAAGTCAAACAAGTCGATCTAGCTATCACTGGCGAGGTTGGTAGTGGCTGGGCGAAGCCAACCTCGCCAGTGGCCGGCGAGTTTGAGTCAGATCTAGCAAGGTCAAGCCTCGCAATTGTTGGCAAGGTTGACAATGGTTGGGCGAGGCCGACCTCGCCAGCCCTTGCCTCTATCGGTTGCCAGTTCCGGCGACCGACCAGAGATTGAAGATAAAGAAAGGATAAAAAAAAAAAAGAAAGGGAAAGAAAAGAAAACAAGGGAAAAAGAAAAGGAAACATAAAAAATTAATTAAAAATTCGAAAAAAATATTTAAAATATTTTTAAAATGCCACATCAGTTTTGGCCGGCCAGCCGGCGTCCACATCAACACCAAGCGGATGGACTGAATTGGCACAAATAGAAAAAGTTTAGGACTAAATTAGCACAAAAAAAAGTTCATGACTAAATTAGCACAATTGCAATGTGTTTAGGATTGTTTTGGTAATTTTCCCGAATTAGGGCATAAGATAGGTTGCACATCTATTGTTGAGTTGAATCTTTGAGTCAAGCCGATACCGCATCAAGCTCGATCTCGCCTCCACTCGCATATTCAATGCCCAAAACTCAACTTGAACTCGATCGAGTATTCAAATTCTTGCTTCAAAATGGAGCTTGAGGTCGATCATGAAAAGCTCGAATATCGTGAGTCTGTTATGGAATTTTGAGGATTTTTGTCTCTTTGTATGATTATCAATTGTTTCTTAAACAAACAATAGAAGCTCGGTTATGGTTGCGAGCCTAGTGAGCTTCGCGTTAGTAAGCTCGAACTTGGACTCGAAATTAGACAAGCCTATCTTGAGTAATCATCAGTCGACCCCAAGCTATTACCAATCTTGTAGGATGCAATGGTGTATGAACCTCGAGACGTGAGCATATTAGAAACATAAAATATGATCAATTGCTCTTACTATCAAGCGCGAATAACCTTATATTTACTATTTAGGCCAATTGCACAGGTCTAGGTTCCCTTTATAACTATTCCACGAAGTTAGTGGAATATGTCAGAAAGTCGAAGTTAACTGATCTAAAATGTGCTTCCTTGTCTTACAAGAAAAACAAAATTATTAATAGCCACACCTCACCAAGAAATGTAGGGGTGTGCAAAAGAATCGGAAACCGCCCGGAACCGAACTAGAACTGATGGTTTGGGAGGAAACCAGTCCAGTTCTCGGTTCCCATTTTTGGGAACTGGTGGGTACCGGTCCAGTTTCCGGCTCCAAGTGTGGAACTGCCTGCCCGCCTACCCGAACCAAACCGGTAATATAATAATAAATATAATATTTTTTTAAAAAAAGAAAATTCATAAATCCCTAAACCAAACCTAAATCGCTCAATGCTCACAGCCTCACATTGAGCCGAGAAACACCTTCTTTCGCTTTCGCCTCATACTCACTCTCACTCTCTAATTTGTTCTCGATCAATGTTCACCTCACCGTCTCCGACTCTCCATCTCCGTCTCCGTCTCCGTCTCCGTCTCCGTCTCCGTCTCCATCTTTCAGTCTCTTTTCTTGGTTAGTGGGACCGGTTTCATGGACCCATCGGAAACCGGACCGAACCGGCGGTCCAGTTCTCGAGTAGATCCATGGAACCAACGGGCGGTTTCCGATTCTAATTTTTCGGAGCCGGTCTTTAGTGGGCGGTTCCTGGTTTTAGGATGGAAACCGTCCATCAGAACTATGCTCACCCCTAAAAAAATGTTGATTGGATAGGGAATCAACTTACTATATAGGGTTTGTACCGTTACCTTGTACGTGCATTGAAATTTGATCAATCCAATTATGAGAAGTTTGGAACGGTTTTGGCAGACGGAAGAGGGTGACAATTTCCGACGCGACAAAATAATACAACTCGAACATGACATGAAATAATTGTGTACGGATCAATTTCGTGTCAACGCATGAGACACAATTAATAATGGTGTCGTGTTCGTGTTCAACTGTCAGACACGAAATTGACCCGTATAATCCATTTAAACTAACCTGTTAGTATTGAAACAGCTTGTATGTGATCCATCTATACACAATTAGCTAAAAGACTTTTTTTTTTCACTATTAAGATTTTAAATTGATTACATCTCATTGACTACGAACATGTTTCAATTTAATTTGATGATATTATGGTGACGGATTATTACCATTTGTAAATAGATTTTACTGAAATTTGAGGATATTTCATGTCAAGTTCCATGTTAGTGAATTAATTTCATGTTAGCAAGTTGATTTCATACAATAGTGGGTCATGCACTCGTGTTGACCCATCACCCCGTCATTTATTCGTGTTACATGGCTCGTGTCGTGTCAAACCGTAAATTCTCGGGCCGTGCTGGTATCAAGTAGGTCGATTGGATTAACTAATCGTGCCGTGTTCGGATTTACCATATACCGTTATCCCGACACAATACGAGCACAACCTGCGAACCCGAATTGCCATCCACTACGCCCCCTCCAATACACTGGTTTGACCAAAGCATCTGTGCATGATGGATCAGATTTTAGATAGTTCTTTTCCTAGCCTTTGTTCTGGATCGAGGAAGGTCACCAACAAATGCTGTCACCACCAACCGTGAAGTGTGTGCACGAAACATCACAATTAATAAGTTCTCCAAAAATTTGGATCACATGATCAATTAGAGTATATTCACCCTGAAAAATTTGCCCCATGATCATTCATCAAGCAAAATTAATTAACTTGAGAGCATTTTCATTTTCTCTTAGACAGGCTTTAGGAGCACCCGGCTTCATTACTCGGCGTCGATGAATAGGGAACCGTTAGCTTTGACGGAGATTACCCAGTTGTTCAAAGAGCTCCGAATACCTAACTATCAAATCCCGAAAAAAAGAAGAGAAGAAAAATGCTACTAAATCTACTATTGTAGTTTTCAATGATGAATAAACTAAAGATAACGATAGTCTCGGGCCCCCCCTTCAAGTGCATTGCCGCTATCATTGCTGCTTCAGCCAAAAACTTAAGCATCTCCAGCGCTGCCTCAAGAACTCAGATTTTGTGATCAATGAAAATCAAATATACCCAAAATTAAATATATTTAGCAAAATAACTTATTAGTACCCAAAATATCAATATTGAGAAGTCATTAGCAAGTCGAAATTAGCAATTACAACATAGCATAGAAATGAGGTCCGAGAGGCCGAAAAATCTTCACGCCTTTGCCCCCGGATATAAAGTTGCGAAACGCAGTAGTTACTTCCCAAGCTTATAACTTCACATCTGGTTTCATAAACACTATATACTTAGCAATAATTACACTGAATACCGAACGACCGGGGCCAGGATTATCCACCGGCTCCTCTCGGCCCGACGCCGTTTACACCGAACATGAACATTTCGGTGCAAACTTAGTGCGAAAAAAACATAGAGAAAAAATCGGAACCGGAAGAGGTTTCCATGTGCCTCGACGTGACTCACTTGAGTGTTAAAATCTTTCTAAAAAAGGGACAAATTCCCTATAATTTCTCCTCAATAACACATTACATAATTAAGCAAATGCTTTCACAGAGAGATGGAGCAAGCTCTCTCTACCTCTTGCTGGAGGGGGTGATCTTGATGACCAGGCCCGGGAAGACGTCGTCTGGGTCGTGTATGTGCGGGTTCCGTTCGACGATGTATGGGTCGCCGCACTTGTCGCCGATGGTCTGTAGGGTCTCACCTTCTCGGACCACATAGATCTCGTCGCACGGCCTATTCATGCCCTGATGGTGCCTCTCTCGGATCGCGGCCCCCAGCTCGGCCAGCGACGGCTCGCCCGGCTCGCAGCAACTCAGTGCCAGCATCAGCGCCACGAGCAGCGCGCAGTACCACGATATCCTCTCCGCCATCGCCGTTGACGAAGAAACACGAGCCATGATCGCTCAGTAATTTAGGAAGACCAAGCTCTTCCTTTTTTGGTTGTGGAAATGGTCTCTGCATACATAAAACAGATTGAAGTAACTGATGACATGCGAACCGGTAAATATATACAAGAGAGAGAGAGAGAGAGAGAGTACGGGGCATAAATGCTTTTTTTTTTCCTTTGGAATAATTAATGCTAACCATGTTTATGCCGAACATATACGAAATTCATAAACTAAAAGATGAAATCGAATTTTATTAAGGATGTATTTATTTCACGGAAAATGAATAATTTGAAAAATATTTTACTGAAAACGATTGCTCATATCGCTTGAAATAATTAGTCAATAGAAAAAAAATGTCATTATCAACAGCAATTTATGTCTAAATATTTTCATAGTTAATAAAAACAATTTTCGTTCATTCATTTTTGTAAACGATAGATGCAATCATTTTCAGAAAAATATTTTCTAGATTATTCATTTTCCGTGAAACAAATTGAGCCCAAGTATTAAATACGCTTCACTTTTTTTTTGGGTCGGAAATATTTTCCCCTTACTTAAATGTATGCTCTACGCACAATTACTCGTAATATTTTTATTTTTCCAATTGGGTATATATCAATCTTAACATATCTTTTTTTTTCCTTTTTTTTTTTTTGGGTGGAGGTAGGCGGGAGTTGAAACGGTTCCTTACCGGCGGAGGGTTAGGTAACTGTCAACGGCAGCGCATTGAAGCACAAGAACAAGAAGGACGAAGATTAGGTTTAACTGCTTTTATTTAATGGATTTGGTCTTCCGATTTTGACTCCATTTCGTATTTGGAATTAGTCTTCGAAGCCCATTAATTAATTAATTAATTTTTATCTCGACCCCCTATTTTTTTAAAAAAAATTTAAAATTTTTATTTTCTGGGGTTGCATCCTTCTTCTTGGATCTTGAGTATGCAAGTCGGAAAACATCCTTTGACTTTTTGAATCAACCAACGTTAGCTCTTCCCCGCAAGACTTCATGTGTTGACCTTTTGTTCATGCGTGAGCATGAGCAGGTCACAGTTAGCTTGCTCATTTATGAGTGAATTGATTGAGTCAACCCCTTCGGCCAAAAAAAAAAATTAGGTCAACCCCAAGAAGTGGCTCTTTCGAGTAGCTTGTGATCAGCTGACCAAGTCCTATTTTTGGTAAATCATAAATTTCGAGATGCTTATTCATGTGCAATTTTATTTTCGTACTTTTTTGGAATTGAATAAACTTTGAAAATACACGGTCCCTGTCTTTGCAATTCACCTCGCCTTCGAGAAAGGGAAAGAGATCACCCTCAAGCGTGTGTTGCGCCACACTCTAAATAGCCACCGATAGATTACCCATTGTAGGTCGATCTGATGAAAAATTTGTAACATTAGTTACCCGATGCTAAGATGACGACATTCCGCAACTTTGTATCAAGTGGTTGCAAGAATATCTTTTTGGTGCTTTTCACCAAATACTACAAGATACAGTTGCAATGAGATTGGTTGGTTCCGTTGCTTAGTTATGTGATGCAACAAGCAAGGATTGCCGTGGGATAATTTGAAGTGAAGTTGGTGTATTTAGTGATGGTGTATGAATATGATGTGGGAGTCAAAGCAAAAGTCTCCAGTCAAAGCATGCTTACTTCTTTGACCTGATACAATTTTTATTTTATTTTTTAATTTTACGATGAATTCCATCTCTATATAAATTAGAGCTCATGAAATATCCTACTAATCTCTACATTAGGGATACATATTGGGAAAGGAATTGATGATGTACATGGGTAAAGAAGTACATCCGTTTTGCTATTTAGAAAAGAGACTAATTAATCAACTTTTTATGTGTAGTCGAGCAGATTGTGAGGGCATTTTAATCCATTGACGAAGCAAATCGATCACGTCACAATCCCATATTGCGAAAGAGGAGCTTCATATCGTGCCATTATCTCATCATGGACTAACTCGTAGTTTTGGTAGAAGTAATCATTTTGCAGGGTCTCGTGTTATTTCATGAACAAGGAATCCTCAAGTAGATTGTCACTCCAAGTCAATATCATTCTTGGGAATTGATTGGAAGGTCAATACCACGAAAAACCCCAAACTGATATATCTGTAATAAATTTACCACAAACTAATTTTTTGACAATAAAAAACCCCCAAACTTATACACTTACGACAAATTTACTCTTCATTAATTTCTATTAAATCAGATTAATACTATAAAAAATCACAAACGGGTACGCTTGTGATAAACGGAGGGCAAAACCCCAAACAGGTATACCCGTCAACTGTTAGGTGTCATCCAATTCAGCAATTTAACGGTAAAATTTAACGGAAACTAACAAAGTGTAAATTTGTGATAGGTGTATCAGTTTTGGATTGTTTGAGATAAATTGATCACGGATGTATCAATTTGGGATTTTCGTGGTAATATTTTGATTGGATGGCGAGATATTTTGCCTATTATGAACGAATCTTTTTCATTGGCGGTAGTGGCCGGTGATCGGAGATCCGCGACGAGCGACTCCCGACGGCGACTGTCAACCGGAGACCGGCCACAGACGGGTGTGGCGGCGATGGTCACGGAAGTGGGGTTTCGACAGTTTCGTGATGAGAAGATGTAGAATTGAAATCGTCGATATCAACTATTGTTAGGTAATTCAATTTCGCAGTTTTCGAGGAATTCCATACCACATGGAATCGAAATCCACATTTTGATATCTCTCCGAACAAGGAATCCAATTCCCCTTCGAACCAAATAAGAAGATACTCGATATTAGATAAGACATTTCAACCAAGCCATTGTTTTGTATAAGTGGGTTAGGTAGAGAAATTTCTTCGTCATTAATGATTTGTGTCCCTGTGGGTTCCTTGCTTATATCATGAAAATTCACAAGAACGGTATAATGATTTCGATCTGAAAATGGAATTCTAATTTAATTGTGATTGCAAACACTAATGCCCCCCAGAGAATGGAGATAGTGACAGCAACTTCCGTATCATACACGGAATGTGTTTGCAACTTTGTATGCCGGTAATATCCTACGGTGAATCAGTGATCGTATTCATCTCGTGGTTCAGGAAGAAGTTTGGAATCTTCGGACGAGGTAGAAAGGTAAGTCAATCGAACCCGAAGAACATTAGAAGAACCAAATGCAACTGAAAATGAAAACAAGGATTCTCTAAAAGATTTCCTGATGCAACAGACAACCTCATCTACATTGACCGTCCAAGAACTGAAAAAAGGAGAGGAGATCGAGCAAGGGTTGCTCGAGTTCCATGTATTTCAAAATGGCAGTCAAATCAATCGTATATCAAGCCAACAGAAAGCACAGAAACTAAAAGAGTCAGCTGATGTATGGGTACCTCTTCAGACTCTGATCGATCAATCTGTGGCCCGTAAAGATTCCATGTGCTTCGATGCTCGGAATTCACCTCTGAGTAAATGGACCGCAGGGAACTAGCGACACAAATCGACACGATCGTGAGGGAAATTTCTGGAAAACGTAAATGGAATTTGTATTAACAAAATGACTTGACATGAGCAAACCTTCGTGAAAGAGAATCCTAAAAGTATCACAACATAACATGGACACCATCGCACCTTGACATACCAATATCTGTAGAACGTTCGCCTTTCTAACAATTTGAGCATGCTTTCCCCCCGAAAGCCTCAAAATAAAGGAGGTCAGAATCTAAAACTACCATATTACAATTCTTAGAAGGACAACATTATTGAGAAAACAGAGATTTTAGACCATTATATTTTAGGAGTCAGAAAAGCAATGATATGGTTTCACTTGGGTTGTAATGTGTATCCTCTCAACACATCTTCAGCCCCGCAAGTAAACACAATACTGGCTGCTTCTGGATTCCCAGAAATCTGCAAGTGATCATAAGAGGCATTTAGGGACCCAAGTAAACGATCATCTAAGCAAGATAATCAAGTAGGACCTTGAAGGTTTAGTAGGAGATGCAATATAAAGAAAAAATAAGAGAGAGAGAGAGAGAGAGAGAGAGAGAGAGAGAGAGAGAGAAGTTCATGTGCAGTGGCAATTTGTAGCTGATCTGTGATCCTAAAATCAACTTCGAAGCCTCTGAATTGTCCATTGCTCGTAATGCCAAAACAAGGGCAGTAAACGGTAGTGAAAGCTAGAGATTCTGACCCTTGACCTGGCAAGTGAAATTGAGGCCTCTTTCTGCACCAAACAAATAGGACAGCACACTCCAATTTCAGGCAAGGGTTTGCCAACACATTTGTTGGTTGCATGAATATGTACTATGTACTTGCAGGATGGGAGAGAGGAAGAGAGGCTAATTACAGTTTCTACTTTCATCAGATCAAAGAAATTTTTTGTTCGCTTCTGCCGCAGTATTTACATAACTCAACACGAAGAAAGCACCTACAACTAAACTTTCTTCACCTTGCTTGCATAGGAAGAATCCCTTTTAATTGCCTGAAGGAGATGAAACATGGCAACACGTGAAGTAGCAATTGTAATCAGACCAAAAAATAAATAGCTATTGTAAGAATGATGCACTTCAGCATTAGAGATCACTGCTAACGATGGCCAAGTTCGTCAGCAGTCCAAGAGCAAAGGCAGATACTCCACCCAGAAACTCAGTGACTTTATCAATTTAAAATTCTGGCGCACATTTCTCGACCTTTATGTTGCCCATACCATCAGGACAGTAGGCAAAGTCAGCAACATATGGCTTTCCCCACTTCTCAAAAGAAAATAAAAAAAATTTGGGCTACCACAAAAAGACAGCAACAAATTGAAGAACGAAAGACAACATAAAGTGGTCTGATCCTGCAGGTCATCAGACAGAAACAATGGTGCCTGCCAAGATTGGAATTGGATACTTGTAAATCAAGATGCAAGTCTGACATGCTATCAAAACTTGCATTTTAAATGCACAAGAGCTTGAAATTCTCTGTACCCTTGCGCCATTGAGTCCTGTTCATTTTCAATATCCTGATTGTGGCAAATCAAGATTAGCTACCGTTGCTTTCTTTGGAAAAGAAATTCTTAAGGAAAAAGCAAGAATGAGAACCACCACAGAAGCACCTTAAGGGTTCAAAGTTAATTCTCACTATAAACGCGATCACAAACTATTATGACAGTAGAAGTAGACAGTCATCTGATAGGAGCCTTCTCAGATCTCAATTCTAATGAAAGTCCTCCAAATCCATGCACATAAAGTGATTCTACCTGCCTTTTTGACGAATAAATTAGGATTCTTTAACTTCATTGCATTCAGAGAGCATTGTACACTAGGGCATGACATTCCTATACAATTCTGCCAATTGAGAATATGGGTTCACAAAAGTCCGCGTAGCCATGACGAAGATGACCTCTTTGTCTTCCAAAAATAAGGTAATACCAAACATTGTCCTTGTTTTACAGTGAAAAGATCATTTGGTAACTGGATTCAGCCCCATCACTCATACACTGACTCTGCAACATCCTCAAATAAATAAAAGCTGAAACATAGAAACATACTGGAGACCTGGCACAATTTGATGAATTTTAACATGAAAATTCGGTCTCTTGCTTTTGGTAGGGAAAAGACTGATAATATGCTACTCAACATTTAGTAGTTTCGTCACATATCTTTAACCTGTCATGACACCTTCAGAAAGATGCTAACACATGCAAAGTATTGAGTTATCTAAACCATTTGTCATTCAATTATGAATGGACATGGCATGAAATATATCAGTAAGATCAATCTTTCAATAATACTAGTTAGATGAACTGAAGATCACATTAGCTTACCAAAAGTTATATTCAACTTGAACTTGAAATTTGGTTTTTGGTATGCTTGAACTGTCAGCAACATCCTTGAACTGTATGAAGGCAACTCATCCTTTCCCAGCATATAAGCTTCTTTAGTAGATAGACCCGATAGCATATAAAAATAAATAAAGAAATTCAATAAAAGCATTGATGTCAATGCCTGTAAGATTCTTAATGAGGATACTACAACTATGTACCCTAACAACTTAGTCCCACTGTCAACTGAGTAAGATGCAAAGACTTTTTTCCATCAACCGACATAGATTAAACTAATTGACAAAATCTTCTAATAGAAGAGTGCTGCCTGCACTACATCAAACTTCTTGATCGTGATCAACTGCTCCTTTTATGTGTCTCAGCATTTTCGGCACCCATGACTCCCTTATTAATCTCTAAAAGTTAGCTTCTTCTGGACAACTGCACAAAAGTTGTCTTCTCCACCCCTGCTACACTATTGAGCTAGACAAAGCCTACTCCAAAGCAAGTGATCCATGATAGATGACAGAAAAGCAATGAACTGGAATTCACTACATAAGCAAATGAGGATGATGATAAAGAGCAGAAAATCAAAAAGAAGGGATCAGAACCATGCATTCCAACAGTTCAAATTGCTAAGTTAAATCCTAATACTCAGTTGTTATAAACAAATTAAAGGAGACATTGCAATGTCCTTTCTATCCTCAAAAAAAGGAAACAGAAGGAACTAAATCCATGATAAACCCCATAATACTAAGTATACTGCTGCAATACCATCATCATAAAGAAGGAAAAAGATATTGAAAACAGAAAAGATTGCTAGCATGTACAGGAAATTGAAAGTTAAAGGCACTCAAGGTAAAGCATTGTCCATTTTTCACGACGTACACTATCAACCTTCCCACACTTACATAATCAGAACATGCACGAGTAAGTTGAATAGACAATGACTTTCAGGATTTTCAGTATATTCTATTATTTTTCCTCTACAACCATCATGATGAAGTTTGACAAAGCAGCTGCCAGAACATTTGCCTGTAGAAAGTAACTCTCAAATATTTGTGCGGCAAGTGCCATGTAATATTTAATCTTTACAGTGCATCGCAATAGAGCCATACAAATCGTATACAACTTTACAACAGTAAGTAGTTGGTAGCCATATAAAAAAATTCAAGGAGAGAAACAACAGAACATGCGTCGTTTCTTCTGCTTGTTCTCTATATAGCTAATGTTAATCAGCTTCATATCATGACAATGAAGTGCTCATCCATTTAAGCTTTTGAGATTCCTCAAAGCGACCCATGCGTTCCAGAAGTCCAATGACTAAAGTGTAAGATTCTCCAGATGCCCTCATTTTATAGTCCACAGACATTCGGTTAAAGATTCGATAAGCATCATCAGCAAATCCAGCTTGGTTGCATATGTCTAGTACTGCCCGAAAAGTGAAATCATTTGGAGTAAAACCCTCAGATATCATCTCGTCAAAAAGATTAATTGCATCTCGATACATGTGATTAATTCCATATGCCTCAATGATGGCAGTCCAAGTCATAGAACCCTTGACAGGGATTGAACTAAATACGGACCTTGCAGTAAGAACTGATTGGCAACTTCCATACATTTTCATTATTTCTGAAGAAACAAAAGGGATCGTCTCAAAGTTTTTCTTCAAAACCTGTCCATGGACCTCCTCCCCAAGTTTCAAATCTTTAAGTTGAGCACAAACATTCAACAGCCTTGCCAGTGCAACAGAGTCTGGCCTATGCTTCGACAACTGCATAGCTCTAAATACATCCAGAGCCTCATAGAGAAACCCACTCTCTGCACATGAGTCAATCATTGCTGTCCAGGAGATCACATTTCTCTGAGGCATACCTTCAAATAACTTGAATGAATAATTCAAGATTCTGCATTTTGAGTACATCACAAGCAAGGAAGTAATCACGGACACATTGTCAACAAATCCATTCTTCGTAGCATAAGCATGAATCTCCTTCCCACGTTTTAAGTCCTTTAACCGAGCACAAACCGGCAAAACAGTGGCAATCGTGACAATATCAGGCCTGCAACCTTCTTGCTGCATCCACACAATTGATCTCAAGGCCTGCTCCAGCCTCCCGTTTGAGATATAGCCCGATATTAGAGCTGTCCAAGAAATAGCATTTCTCTCTGATGAACCATAAAATACCTGTCTTCCAGATCCCATGTCACCACACTTGCAATACATATCAATCAATCCAGATTGTATGAACAGTTGCTTCGAGTAACTCCTTGTCTTCAGCACATAGGCATGAACCTCCCTACCCAATCGTCTCGCCTGTAACACCCCAATCACAGGCAGAATTGTTGTCAATATAACTGAATTTGGAGCAATCCCTTCACTTATCATGATTTTCGTATACTCTATGGCTTCCATTTGCAATCTATTATGTGCAAAACCTGCAATCATTGCCCCCCATACAACGACATCTCTCTCATCCATCTCGTCAAATGCTTGGCAAGCCAACTTAACTTTGCCACATTTAAAGTACATGTCAATCAAACTTGTCCTCAAAAGGCTACTATCTATAAAACCATTCTTTATCAGAAGAGCATGAGTTCTCAAACCCTGCTTAAGAGCTGATGCACCAGCGAAGCTTTTTATCATGGAAGAAAAAGTATATTCATTGCACTCGACACCTATCTCTCGCATCTCTGAGAAAGTAGAGATGACATCAAGAAAACGCCGCCTTCCAGAAATAACAGCACCTCTGATCAATGCATTGTACTGATAAACAGTCTTGCCGCAGCACGTGTCAAAAATCCTTTTTGCATCTTCAATGGAACCACAAGATGTGTACATGTTGACAAGCTTTGTTCTCAAGAACTCATTGCTTTCAAGCCCATTTATTCTAATATGTGCATGAATCTGCTTTCCTTCAGCTAAAGATTTTGATCGAACACAAGCAGCAATAAGGGAAGAGAAAGTGGTGACATTGATGGGAATGCCTTGTTGGTCCATGTAGTCCAAGATGGTGAGTGCTTCTTTGAGCTTGTTTTGTCTTGCAAATCTTTGGATGTCTTTGTAAATTGCATGGGGGTTTCTTGTGTGCAGCGGCAACGAAGAAGGGAATACATCCTCCTCAGAAAACGGTTTTATAGCATTTCGATCGCGTTTAACCGGGCGGGTTCCTTTAGGTGGTTTTCTTGATACTCCATAACTGGAAGAGTGATCGCTCTTGCGTTTCTGGCTTTTATCCTTGATCTTTGATTGAACAACTTGAAACTGCAAGGGAGGCAATGACAGAGAGGTGACTTGCATGGTGTCACATATACTTGGACAAATAGTCAAACTTGGAAACCAATCCAGGCTGCTCAAACTCTGCTTGCTTCGTTCACCATTGATCTGCAAAAATTAAATAGCTCGAAGATGAGGAGAAAAATAATTAAAAAGACCCAACACATTTGCCTCAAGCCCCGAAATATGAATTTGCCATGGGATTCGCCATTCCATGGCCATGGATTCATGAAACGGAATCCCATTCACAAGTCATCAAATTCCTTGGAGAGGGACGCCCTTTCTCATGTTTGGTTTCAGCTTAGGAATGATGGAGCAAGTTCAATGCGTATTGCAAAATGAAGTTAAAACATAAACAGAGCGGGGAACCCGTAAATGGTTTATCAAATCCACGGACACAAAATGGTTAACTAATATAAAGAGTTTGACAGATTCTGAACGAAGAATCAAGTATAAAGATGCCTCCCTAAGTTCCCCATTATCGTCCTCCAAAAAAGAAAACATATCTACAGCTCACACAAGGATTTTCACAAACACTTCATCTGCAACTCCGCAAAAGACCGTTGTTACCCCAGCAAAGAGCAAAGTCGGGCCTTTGGGACCAAACCCAGATAGGCAAAAGACGAATTCAGGATGGGGAAGTTACCTCAAGCCACGGTGATACCGATTCTCATCTTCGCCGTGTTCCGAGTCGAAGACCCGGTAACGAGAACAGAATGGAGGGGACAGTGCCTCTGCAGAGTTCGCGAATGGAACTGTTCCCGTTCCCCGCGACAACGTGTGACGCTTGTTGTCGGAGCAATTCAGGTTATCATCATGGCGTCGCAGCTCAAAGGTCTGAACTTTGACGAAAGAAATTGTTCGACTCAAATGATGATTTTATCCATTTTAAGGGAAAAGCCAGAAAAAATCGTAAAATATTTGAATAAAAAAAGAATTTTATAAGAAGAAATAAAATGAACTAATTGGTAATTATAGAGGCTCAACGTTTGAGAATGATTTTCATTTCTGTACATTTACAGATTGTACACGTTTATAAAGAGAAGAAAAAATACAATCTTTGGCAGAGCAAAAATCAAGGAATGCCAACTCATCTATAGTTGGTAAGCTAATTTAAAATTCAAAAAGATATCAAAAAGATTTCATATCTTAACACGCCCCCGCAAGATGGACGTTCCATCGGAAACACCCATCTTGTCTTGTAATTTTATTGTCCGCGGCCTTGATAACGGTTTTGTGAGAATGTCGGCAAGTTGATCATGGGTGGAAATATGGGAGACTCGCATCTTGCCGGCTTTAACAAGTTCCTGAACAAAATGGTAATCGATCTCAATGTGTTTCATTCGGGAATGGAAGACAGGATTTGCACAAATATAAGTAGCGCCTATATTGTCGCAATACAAGCTTGGTGCGGTGTCCATGTGAATGCCAAGTTCATGAAGCAAAGATTTTACCCAAATGAGTTCAACCGAGGCCGTGGCAATGGCTCGGTATTCTGCTTCAGTAGATGACCATGCAACCGATCGTTGCTTCCGAGAACTCCAGGAGATAGGATTGGCCCCAATATAAATGACAAAACCCGAGGTAGATGTGCGATCATCAATGTTTCCTGCCCAATCTGCGTCAGTGTAGGCATGAAGTACAGGTTTTGTGTTGCGTCTCAAGTGCAACCCATGGAATAATGTTCCCTTAAGATAGCGTAAGAGCCGTTTTGCGGCTATCCAGTGGGTTGTGGTCGACTTATGCATGAATTGAGATAGCTTATTTACCGCAAAACCAATGTCCAGGCGAGTAATGTTGAGGTATTGAAGTGCGCCAATGAGGCTTCGAAATTTTGTAGCATCAGCTGGTGGTTCTTTGTCATGGACTGAAAGAGACTGACCTGTGGTTAATGGTGTCCCGACATCTTTTGCGTCTCCCATTTTGAAGTGTTCAAGTAGCTCTCTGATATATTTATGTTGAGAAAGAAGTAAGCCGGTCTTTGTAGGAATGACTTCAATTCCCAAAAAGAAATTCAGTGGCCCCAAGTCTTTAATTGAGAACCGATTAGAGAGAGCGGTGATGAAGTCCGAAACAAAATTCTGGTCACTTCCTGTGATAATGAGATCATCTACGTACACTAGAAAATAGGCTTGAATGCCACCATGAGAGTAAATGAACAGTGAACTGTCATTCTTTGAATTTACAAATGAATTTGCGAGAAGGAATGAACTTAGCTCATTGTACCAAGCCCGCGGAGCCTGCTTTAACCCGTATATGGCTTTCCGAAGTTTGCAAATGTGTGTTGATTTTTCTGGGTCTTTAAAACCAGGCAGTTACGACATGTAGACCTCATCCTGGAGAGTTCCCTGGAGGAAGGCATTGTTGACGTCCATTTGTCTCAATGTCCATCCACGCATTAGAGCCAATGATAAGACCACCCGAATGGTATTTGGTTTGATGACCGGGCTAAATATATCGGTGTAATCAAGGCCTGGTCATTGGTGAAAACCTTTTGCCACAAGACGTGCCTTGTACCTCTCAATATTGCCGTCCGCATGTCTTTTTATCCGATAAACCCATTTGCAACCTACAACATTCAAAGATGGATCAAAAGGTATTAGTTCCCAAGTCCCGTTACGAATAAGGGCATTGATCTCAGCCGACATTGCTTCACGCCATTGAGGATCGCACATAGCTTGTGTAATTCCCGTTGGTTCTATAGTCGGTGGAAGTGGATGTTTGGTGGAGATGTGGTTGATTTGTTTGGCCTTGAAAATATTATTTTGGGATCTAGTGGTCATTTTGTGAGTTCGTGTAGGTAGATTTATGGGTTCTGATGTTTGGTCATTGTTGATAGTGGCAAGTCGGGTTTCGGGTGAGTTGGAAGGAGTAAATTTTTGGATGTTTGTTGCAGGTTGATTTGGGGCAATAGATGCAGATGCACGGGGTAGGTTTCCAAGAGGTGGCATTTGTTGGGATTGATCTAAAGTTTGGGAAGCCAACGGGGATACAGCACGGGTTGGAATGCTGCTCTGAGGGGGCGCTTGTGCAGGTGGTCCGGTGTTTGGCAGTAAGACCGGAAGAGAAACAGTAGGTTGAAGAGGTGAACTTTGAGAGGATAACAAGACACTCTTAGAATTGAGAAGTGTTTGGTACGGGAATGTGATTTCTTCGAACACAACGTGACGCGAGATATAGAGACGATTATTTTGTGGATCAAAACATTTGTACGCACTTTGTGACAACGAATACCCTAAGAATATACATTGTCGAGAACGGGGCATAAGTTTATTTGTGTTGTATGGACGTAACCACGGATAGCATAAACAACCAAATGTGCGAAGTTTTTTATAATTGGGAGCCATTTGGAATAGTATTTGAAATGGTGAGTGCATGTCTAGAACGGGTGTTGGCAAACGATTAATTAGGTATGTAGCAGTTTGAAACGCATATGACCAAAAAGAGGGTGGTAGGTTTGCTTTGTGTAATAGGGCGAGTCCGGTTTCAACTATGTGTCGGTGTTTTCTTTCTGCGGTTCCATTGTGTTTCGGTGTGTGTGGTGGTGTGGTTAGATGGGAAATTCCGTGTTTTGCAAGAAAAGGTTTTAGGTTTTGAAATTCTCCGCCACCATCTGAGTATAAGTTTCGAATGGAGACAGAAAATTGTTTTTCAACCAAGCTTTTGAACTGTTTAAAAATTTGGGTAACATCCGATTTTTTTCTTATAGGATAAAGCCAAGTGTATTTCGTATAGCGGTCAACAAATATAAGATAATAACTGAAACCATCAATTGAAGCAGTTGACACGGGACCCCAAACATCGGAAAAAATAATATCAAGCGGAAAATGACTCACAAGAGTTGATACTCCAAACGGAAGTTTGTGACTCTTATTGCACTGACAAGCATCACATGATAACTTAGAACGTACGATTGACTCAAAAGACGAACGAGTTGGAAAATTATTAAGAACATGACTTAGAATACGAAATGAAGGGTGACCTAGTCTATTGTGCCAAACTATTGGTTTTGTCCGTTCACTAACAAAAGCTGTGAATTTTGGATATGTGTATGTGAGAGGCATCCGATACACACCATTGCTAAGCCCTCCTCAAAGCAGTGTCGCCTCCGTACGAAGGTCCTTCACCAAAAAATAATTGGCAAAAAATTCGATAGATGAGTGGTTATTGCGGCAAAATTGTGAGACGGAAATTAGATTTTTTGCACTATGAGGTGCACATAAAACATTGGATAATTTAAAAGTTTGGTTCGAGTAGGATAAACGAGTAGAACCAACGTGACTAATACGCAAACTTGTGCCATCACCAATGACGATCTCGTCGGGGCCTTCGTACTCTGAGTGAGTGGTGAGATTGTTGAGGTTGCTTGTGACGTGGTGTGATGTGCCCGAGTCTAGTAACCAGCCGTTTTCTTGACGTGGAGCTGTTGCAACATGAGCAGTAGGCTCGCGGAGACTATTTCGGATTCGAAAACAAGATTTTACTGAGTGTCCATATTGGTCGCAAAACTGACATGTCGGACGAGGCTCTCTGTTGTCCCGATCAGAATACCTTTTGTGAGAGGATCCACGATGTTGGTTAGATCGAGAATAATTTTGATGACGGTTGCTGCGATTGTTTGGCCAGTGGGAGTTGCTTCCTGTACCACGGGTTCTGTTGCTGTAGTGGGCCGTGACTGGTGCTGCTTCAAGTCTGATTTCTTCTAACTTCAGTTGGGTTTCATAGGCCACTAAGGCTGCGAATGATAACCATTCTGTTTCAGAAATTAATTTCTGGCCAGAAATTGATTTTTCTATTTCTGTTTCTGGAGGAGTTTTTAAGCTAAAAAACATGTTTGATAACGACACAAAATTTCTATTTCAGAAATAGAAATTTGTTTGATAACGACACAAAATTTCTCCTTCTCATGTGGCTGGCGAGTGGACGGCGGGCGGTGGACAATCGCTTCATTTCTTTTAGAAATAGAATAAAAAAATTAGAAAATCTGGAAAATTCCTAAAAATCTAAAAAAAATTCAGAAAATCCATAAAATTTTCCAGAAAATAAAAAAAAGTCATATTTCGGGAAAATAGGAAATTTGTTCATTTTTTCCAAAAAAAATCAAAAATTTCTAAACTTCACAGAATGGCTTAGAATACCTGTGGCCACCCACTTTGAGTGAAATTTAAATTTTTTTTTATTTTTTTATTTTTTTGGCACCTAAAAAATTTAAATTTCACTTAAAATGGGTGGCCACAAGTATTCTAAGTCATTCTGTGAAGTTTTAAATTTTTTGGTTTTTTTTTGGGCACCTCAAAAAATTTAAATTTTACGCAAAGTGGGTGGCCACAGGTATTCTAAGCCATTCTGTGAAGTTTTGAAATTTTTTATTTTTAAATTTTTTTGGGCACCTCAAAATATTTAAATTTTACGCAAAGTGGGTGGCCACAGATATTCTAAGTCATTCTGTGAAGTTTTGAAATTTTTGATTTTTGGATTTTTTTCGGCACCTCAAAAAATTTAAATTTCACACAAAGTGGGTGGCCACATATATTCTAAGCCATTATGTAAAGTTTTGAAATTTCTGATTTTATTTTTATTTTTTTTGGGCACTTCAAAAAATTTAAATTTCATTCAAAGTGAGTGGCCACAAGTATTCTAAGCCATTCTGTGAAGTTTTGAAATTTTTTTATTTTTTTGGAAAAAATGAACAAATTTCCTATTTTCCCGAAATCTGACTTTTTTTTATTTTCTAGAAATTTTTATGAATTTTTCTGGAAATTTTCAATTTTTAAGGATTTTTTGGAATTTTTTTTTGGCCGGCGGGAGGCGGCTGGCGGCCGATGGTGCGGGAGGTGGCCGGTGGTCGGCAGTGGTGGGAGGCAGTCGGTGGCAGGAGACGGTGGCCGGCGGCGGCGGCCAGTGAAGGGTAGTGGCGTTCGGCGGGTGGCGGCGGCCGGCGATGGGCGGCGGGTAAGCGACCGACTAGTAGTGAGGGAAAGTGATGAGAAGAACAAAAAAATTTTGTTTCTCATTTCTGTTCCAGAAATAGAGAAGCTAAAAATTTTAACTTCTGATTTCTCTTTCAAATCTATTTCTGGAACAAAAATTTGTTCCAGAAATAGAAATTAAAATTGCGTTACCAAACGGATTTCTGTTCCAAACCTATTTCTGGAACAGAAATAGAGAAACAGAATGGTTATCATTCGCAGTCTAACTTGTCATGCATTTCCTCAAAGCTGATTGTGTTTTAGCGAGCCCTAATCGCTGCCGCGATTTCTTTGTATTCGGTTCCAAGTCCCCGAAGTGCATGAATGACTAAATCATCATCGGAGAGACGAGTGTCAATGATTGCTAATTCATCCGCAAGGGCTTTAAGTTCATGCAAAAAATCTGAAACAGAACATGAGTTTCGGCGAGCGATAGAGAGCTGATCCTTGAGATGCATAACTCTTGAGCGGGATTTATTTGCATATAAATTCATGAGTTTTGTCCAGGCAGCGTGTGACGAATTGCAAGAGGCAATGAGAGGAATCACGGCTTCGGATACGGATGCAAAAATTGCATGAAGCAAGAGCTGATCCTGGCGAATCCAAGTTGTTGCAGCTGGATTTGGCACCGTTTGATTTTCAGCTGATATGATGAGAGGTGGACAGACGGAAGTCCCGTCAACGAATCCCATTAAATCATAACCAATGAGCAACGCCTGAAATTGAGCGCGCCAAGAGGGATAATTGGTAGCGGAGAGCTTGAATAGCAATTGGATGGCTGCCGAGATTGAAATCAAACCATTAGGTGCGACTGTCCCAATGGAATTGGAACCAGAATTTGAGGTGGTATGAGCTGATTTTGAAGTGACTTCCATGGCTAGAGGATGCAAAAGGTTCTTAGGAGCATAATGGCTTTGATACCATATAGAGGCTCAACGTTTGAGAATAATTTTCATTTCTATACATTTACAGATTGTACACGTTTATAAAGAGAAGAAAAAATACAATCTTTGGCAGAGCAAAAATCAAGGAATGCCAACTCATCTATAGTTGGTAAGCTAATTTGAAATTCAAAAAGATATCAAAAAGATTTCATATCTTAACAGTAATGACCAGACGCACAAATCAAAATAGAAAGGGTTAATACCACGGAAAACCTCAAACTGATATATTTATGACAAATTTATCCTAAATTAGTATATCTGTGACAAATTTTACCCTCTTTTAGTTTTAGTTAAATTTTACTGTCAAATTATGGAGTTGGATGATATGTGGCAGTTGACGGGTGTGCCAGTTTGGGGTTTTACCCTCCCTTTATCACAAGTGTACCAGTTTGTGATTTTTCGTAGTATTAATTTAATTTAACGGAAATTAACGGAGGGTAAATTCATAAAAAAAAATACCAATTTGAGGTTTTTTTTGTGGTAAAAAAAATTAGTTTTAGGTAAATTTGTCACAGGTGTACCAGTTTGGGATCTTTTATAGTTAAAAAATAGTTTGGGATAAATTTATCATACGTATACCAGTTTGAGATTTTTTGTTGTATTAACCATAATAGAAACATGCCCGATGGATGAATTTCTTTAGTTAAAAACTACGATACGCACTACAATGCTCTGTTATTGGGGGAGGGGAAGATGATCCGATCCTCCTAAAGAACTTAAAAAATATTTCATCCTCTAATGAAATAAGGTCTGTCGGTCCATCATGACCTTTCATCATGGATGCCCCATGAAAAGTGGAGCTCATGTGATCAACACTCGAGATCGACTCGGGTGTAGACAAACTTTTTCCCATCTCATGGAATGTGCATAATTTGCTGTCTCTAGAGATGTATTCCCAAGCAGATCAATACATTGTCGCAACCCTCCTGAGATGGATTTCAGAGAGGTTTAATGGATTGTTAGGAGGACGTTCTCGAGAGATAGTGTTTGCGCTTCGCATGGACTCTACCTAGAGATAGTCACCACTAATTTGTTCTAGGCTGGTTAGGAGCCGAGTAAGGCTCGTTGTACTCCTGCGAATCAAAGATTTATGTTGCGTTTGGTAGACCGAATATAACTCCGGATAAGATAATTTATATCCTATATGGTGTTTGAGAAACACGTAAACCAGATATATTCAGATATAATCAAGATAACAAAAATCCCATCTAGGAGGTGTGATACATTAGGATAGAATAAGAATTCGAGAGAGAGAAAATCACGTGCAAGTTTCCACTTCCACTTCAAAGACAGTCGAAGACCAATGCACAACCTCAAATTGGAGGTTGCCGGCCTCAGGAGACTAGATCCGGGGTCACCTGAGGCTGGGCCTCAACCTCGGCATCGGTCGTGGCCTCCATTGTCGTGGCTAACGCGGGAGCTTGCAACCACAAGCTCGCCTCATGTGCCTCAAAATTGGGGCCGCAAATGGGGGACTAACAGAGTTGGCATGAGATCCCCTTATTTGGGTGATTAGCAAATGACGATTCCAGGTCAAAGCTTACGGCAAACTAGGCAAGGCGAGGTTATGGTTCATGGCCATGCTGTTGGGTGTTGGTCCAGTGGGAGAGAGATTGGTGAATGATGGTATAAGAAGATGAAGGTAGATGAGGATGGGGGTGTGTGTGACTTTCGAGGCTGTCTGGTGTTGAGTGAACGAACCTTTCGTTGTCGATGAAGGTTATTAAGAAAAGTGGGTGAAAAGGAATCTGATGGTGTTGTAGTGATGACAAGAAGGCGACACTAGGTGGAATTTGAAGTTACAGAACATATGACAATGGGGGACTGAGGGAGAAGAACCGAGCCACCTTCCTTGAAAGATCCCTTTTTCGATCCTTTTGTTTCTTTTTCCTCTTCAATTCTGCATCTTGGGCTCCTTGGAGAACGGTTGAGGAAGTCGTACGGCCCTGATTTGGGTGATGTCGTCGTGTGCGGCATGAAGACAAAGGCGTTGTTGACAGTGATTAATAGCGATAGATTTCTTCGTTGATAAAGCAGTTCTCTCATTATCTATATTATATCCGGACATTCATCAAATATTGAACATCATATTACAGATCACATCAATATCATATCCTATCTTATCCTATCCGACAAGAAAATCCAGACAATTAAATGCAACCTTATGATTCGAGGAACTTACCATGCTAGTTTTAGCTAACTCCTGCTACTGGTACCTTTTCTCTCTTTCTAAGAAAAGGTCTTTCAAGCTTTTTCCTCCAAGTTTATCGCTATCATGCAGATCTACATAAAAAATAACGCATTATCTTTGTGTTAATAGTAAACGTAAAGATACACCTAAGATGCTCGTTGCAAAACTAAACTGATGTGTATCATGATGCATATCGTAAACGTTATTTCTAAAAAGAAAAAATGAAACCATCCACGAATACGTGCAAAAGCATCTGATTTAAATGTTTTTTTTTATCGAAATTTAAACGTACTTTATTCTCTTTGTTTCCTTTTTGTTATTGTTTTAGGACAAAAAGAAGTCATGCAATCATGAAGATTAACTCGTGTAAAATAGGAAACGTCATCGGTGGAATTCCATACGCTACAGGGGAAGATGAAGCCACGATGACATGGGGCCGTGACAATGCGGATTAACACGAGCAAAGGGCCGTTAACAGGGATCGAGAACCCCTCAATTTAGCCCCGCGAATCGCTCCCCCGGCCGCCCACCCCACGACGGATCAGAGCCGCCCAAAACCGGGGTTGAACAGTCACTGTTCAGATCGAGAAATTGGTCTGCAAAATTGGCCTAAACGCCCTGTTCTCATCAGTGAACGGAGCCACCAACTTCGGCCATGAGTTATGACCGCTGGAGAGGGGAGAGAGGTTAGAATCGGCCCCGCGCGTCGAGAGTTTGGTCTTGATTAGCTCGATGGTCGATGTGTGCGGGAAAACGCAGTGGAGAAAGTTGATGATGTGAGAGTATGCAAAGCGAATATTTTTCCCGAGAGGTCAAATTCTGATGATACCGAATGATTTGGGGAGGGCCATTCTAAGTGCCCACTTAGCTGGTTTTTAATAACTAGAAATACTTTCCACATCATGTTTTTTATTATTTAAATTTGCTTAGTTATTTTATGGAAACAAGCCGGCAAAGGACGCGGCGGCGCGGCTGCAGCTGGTCGGCCATGGCAGACGGCAGCGTGGTTTGTCTTGGAGAATAGGGGAAGAAAGAGTACATTTTTGAAGATTTATCTTCTTTTTTGAAGATCCATCATCATGTTTTTATTATAATTTTGTTGAGGCCTTTTTAATTTAGTGTGATTGTCCCTTCTGCTTTTAGTCCAATTCTGAAAGACTTGCTGTCAAAAGAAAATTGGTTGTTTCATGCGAGTACAGAGCAATTATACTTTCATGAAATTCTTCTTCTTTTGACTGCTTCAAGAAATAAATTCTTGGCCTTTGCGCTTGAAAATAATTTATTATTTTCTTGGTATTTATTGGCATTATTTTACCCTGTCTTTGATAAAAAGTGAGTAATGACATTTTCCGCTGAAAAAATAAGTACTCTTACAAAAATTATTGACATAATCTCTTTTCATGATGTGTTTACATTTTAGGTGTCAGATATTCACAATATTACAATTTAAAAGCGCGTCCAGATAGAGTGAACATCTGGAGTAGAAATGAACAAACTTTCCCTAAAGACCATTAGACCAACCGGACCGCTTGCAACTAAAAATTGAAAGGCAAAGGATTTGCGATTGTAAAAATAAGGGAAGAGAGAGCATCTTAGTAGAGTTTTACATCGTTTTGGAGATGGATTTACAACGGGCTTTCACTGTTTCATCAGATACTTCTTGATGCAGCTGACGACCTCATCCACATTGACTGTCCACGCGACCGAAACCGGAGTATACTCCGACCAGGGGTTGCTCGAGTTCCATCTGTACGAAGCGGAAGACGGAACCAATCATATGTCGGGCAAGCAAGAGAAAGAAGGCAAGTAACCAACTCGCAATAGTCAGCTGGTGCACGCGTACCTCTTTAGACCTTGATCCATCAAAGTGTGGCCCGTGCAGATTCCTTGCGTCTCCACCCTCACAACTCCACGTTTGTAAGTGAAAAGATCGGGGCGAACTAGCGCCATGAAACTTACGGGGTCATGAGGGAAAATTCCTGGAATAGGCGAATGAAGTCCATGTAAAGGGATAGACATAGGATAACTAGGCTCTGTAAAAGTACAGTTCTTGAAGTATCAAACCGTACCATAGACCCCATCGGACTCAACATGCCAATCTCTGTAAAACTTGCACATATCACTGAGAATTTGAGTATGCTTTCCCTTTGATAGCCTCAAATCAAGCAGGTCGGCATCTGAACCACCATCATAACTCTCAGAAGGATAACTTTTACAGATAACAAAGAGATTCAAACGAACTTTTAGTAGTCACATGAGTAAGAGAAACAGTAGGGGGCACCCGTTAGTTTCACTTGGGTTGTGATGTTTATCCCCACAACAACAATTTCAGCACCGGAAGTAAACACAACATCAGCAGCTTCTGGATCCCCAAAAATCTGCAAGCGATGATAAGAGGTACTTAAGGCCAACTCAAGTATATGATCAACTTTAGCAGAAGACTCAGTTTAATGATAAAGTATGTGCTGACACTTCGATAGGAAAAACAGAAACAAAAGGAGAGGTTTATATGTAACCATGGCTATTGGTCACTGATCCGACATCACAAAATCAAGTACGGAAGTGTTGGTGATAGCAAGGGGAGTAAAAGACAGTGCAAGTCAAAGCTTCCGACCCTTGAGCTGGGTTGGTACAACGAAATTGAGGTTTTCTTGCGCACCAAACAGCTGGGACAACACATTAGAAATCCAAGCAAGAGTTTGCAACCACATATGAGTTTGCATGGACAGATATATGCTACATCTTTGCAGGGGAGAGAGAGAGAGAGAGAGAGAGAGAGAGAGAGAGAGAGAGAGAGAGACCTATTACAATTTCTATCTTCATCAGATCTAAGAGGACAGCTAGAACTTACGTTTGCTTCTGCAGCAGGATTTACATTTCCCAATGCAAAGAAAGAACCACCAAGCACAACGAGTTTCTTCACCTTGCTTGAAAAGGAAGCATCCCTTTTGATTGCCTGAAGGAGATAAAACATGGCACCCCATGATATTGAAATTGTCAGAATGAAGCAGTTGGGCATGAGAGATCACTACTTACCAAGGCTAAGTTTGTCAGGGGTCCAAGCGCAAGTACAGATACTTCACCCGGAAACTCAGAGACCTTATCAACTAAAAACTCTGAGGCACTCTTCTCAACCTTCTTTGCATTGGGAGGAGGTAAACATATGTTGCCCATACCATCAGAACCGTGGACAAAGTCAGCAACACTTGGAATTCCCCCCTTCTCAAAGGAAAATAATATACTTTTAGGCTACAACAGAAAGACGGCAATAAAATGCAAAAACTAGAGACACCTCAGAGAGAGAAAAGTAGCTGCAAAGTAAAGGGTTAAATATTTGCGACTCTTGAGGCAATATCGTACATCCTATCAAAACTTGCATTGCAAGTGCACATGAGAATGAAATTCCCTCCACTTTTGCACCATTTAGTACATTCCATTATCAATATCCTGAATGTGGAAACAACAATCAAGATAAGTACCATTGCATCTTTGGAAAAAAAAGTTCTTGAGTGAAAGCAAGAATAAGAGTCACTTCAGATGCATCTTAAACCTTTTAATAGCGCAAATCATCCAAATCCATGTACTTATAGTAATTCCACTGACCAAAACACCAAATAAATAAGCCTTCATTCCATTCAGTGAGCATCCAACACCAGGGCATGAGGTTATATACTACTGAGCTGATCAGTAGAGAATATGCTTCACAAAAGTCAGTGAATCCATTAGCGAGATGACTTCATTGACTTCAAAAACCAAGTTAGTTTGGAACATTGAGATAGAGAAATGGATTCAAACCAAGTCAATTTAACAGATGGATCCCCCTTACACAGACAACACATTATTAGTGTCTCTATGTTAAGCTTCCTTAAATAGAAAAATAGAAACGGAAATTTCTTTCACATAGATGAAGATCTCTCGTTCCATGTAGCAACAACCCAGGTATCTCAGTTGCATGATCTAATATCATAAGGACTTTTCTACCTCTTGAATAAATAAAAGGTGAAACAGGTATCTAAAATGGAGACAGAGCACACATTTTGATTACTCATAACAAAAAATTTGCTCTCTTGGTTTTGGTTGGGATTATAATATGGATATGAAGTAGCATCTATCAGACCTTTAACCTGTGATGACGCCTATACAGCTAATAACACATGTAATCATCCACACTATGTTGATATACATAATCTCAGGCAGAATATCACCATACAGCACAGTAGACAAATGCAGATGAAGGAGAATAGTAACCCAGCTTAGAAATCTGGAGACATATTCAGAGATTTAAGTTTATCGAATATGTACACAGACAGCACAGAACAGGTAAAGAATTCTAGTTGAAGTAAGGAAGCACATTCCTATCTCATTGAATCCCCGGAGTGAACTCCCATATATCGAACTAGGAGTTTTAACAAATGAAATAATTACCTTTAAAGGCTCACGGCTGCCTTCAGCTACAGGAACACCTGGACGTCCAGCTATTTCACACTATCCTTTTGCACAATAAAGATAGTCATTGATCATAAAATATTCCACAAACACGACAAACTTTTTTATCTTCAAAAAAAGGACAAACATGGACATCATGGGGAAATATTCGTTATGATGGAATACAACTAAACCAGATGAAACGAATACGTACCAAAAACAAGGCATTGCGAGTGGCAATTTCTGTTGTAACATTACCAAATATAGTCGTGAATCCCAAGATCTCCACCTCAGGAGCTTGAAATGCCATGAAGATTGCCATGCTATCATCTGTTAGTCAACTTAAACCAATCAACTGAGGAAGGCAAATTGCATATTGCCATGTAGTGCAGTTGAAATAAACAAACATGGCCCATCTCCCAAACTGCATTGCTCATTTCAACAATGTAAGCAGCCAGCTCCATGGACACAGGCATCCATTATTCCCTACCGATCTAGCGACCTATTAACAATTCCTCTACACCAATTTTTCAGGTAATAGCCACAAAACCAACTCAATCCATCAAAGGAAGTTAAACTATCTAAGTAGCTTAACACAGCGACTTCCTCTTCATTTCCACATAAACAAGGAAAACATGTTCCCCTAAAAATTTCATATTTTTCTTCTTGTTTGTTAATTAAGAGAAATTTCACAACAAGAGAGATGCCTACACGAAAGAAAAAAAAGGCTTGGACTTTTTCTCTAAAAGAGAAACCCGTATGAAAAAGTCAACTGAAAAATAAAAAATTTCTTCCATGCATCTGGAGAGATACCAATAAACAAAGAGAACCTGCCGATCGCTTCTATTTACCCTTCGAATTGCTTCCACATTTCACACTATCAGCCGATCACTCGTTGCTTTTTTCTTAAAGCGATCTTCTTTCTAGCTTAAAAGGAAACAAGTGGATATACCCAAAGTAAACTATACACTTTAAAGTTGAGTCTTTTCCCAGACTCTTCTTTCTGGGTCCCACAGAAAGCCACATTATTGTTCTGATTTCAGCAATCTCTCCTACTTTAGAGGAAACCATCTGATCCCAAACAAAGATTCACACACACACACACACACACACAAGAACAAGATTTAAGACACTATAGACCAGCAACCAGACCCGTCACAGAACAATCGATCACCATCACAAGAAACAGGAAGAACCCCACACAGACGTTTCGGAAAACCCGACACGCAATCCGCGAATGCAGCCAAGAAAATGCGCGACGAACTCTAACCGAACCGGATGAGATGCTCGGGGGGGGCGGCGGGGCGAGAGAACTAACCGATCCCGGGATCAGTGTCGATGATGACCTTCTCGGGACCCGCCGGCGAGCCGAATGCAACGCCGCCGTTGGCAACCGCCCCCTCCATCTTCCCCGCTCCGAATCGTGGAACGAAAACTCGAGACACCCCCTTCTTCTTTCTTCCGCCTCCCTCCAATTTAGATCACGCAAGACGACAGCAGCAGCAGCAGCAACAACAATCAATTCAACTCGGGTGCCTCTCTCTTCGTGCGGTGGCGACGAACCGATCAGGATACGCTCACGTCACACGCACACATTCCGTCGTCCCCCGACTCGGAAGCGACGACGAAGCAGCGGGCCGACGCCAATCGCTCGCTTGCTCTCCCCAAGACGTCTCTCCCTCTCTTTCTCTCTCTCTCTCTGTAACGCCTCTTGCTGGTTGTTGCTTCTGGTACGAGTGGGTCGGGTGACTTTTATAAGGGAGAAAGGATCGAGGGGAGCCGGAATGACGAAAAAGGGCCCCGCCCTGTAAGGACCGGTCCAGTGGGCGAGCGACGCGTGGCACGTCCCCCCACCCGCCCCCCCCCCCCCCCCCCCAACACGGGAAGGCGATGGCGGGTGGGGGAAATATCGGGACATCGGAGGGGGTAAATTGGGGAAAGCGCGCGGCTGTCGGGTTAGGCAGGCGCGTACAGCTCAGCTTGACGTGGCATTTGATTTTATTTGACTAGAATTAGCACGCCTTTTATATATTATATGATTTGGATGGGGTTTTGTGGGTTGAGTGGGTGGTTAAGCATGATTATCGTGGGATTCATTTTCATGTGGGGGTTTTAAGTTGGTCTTTCTTGAGGGTGGGAGATGATTATGCGACCCAAACTATTATCAAAGGTTTTTAATCCTTTGTGTTATAGCTAATCGGACGGTAATCGGGCTCGGTGTCATATGAGTTTTGTTTCTTTGCGATCAATGAAGATTTTGAAACTGTTTATCGCGACCGATTTGCTTCTTTGACGGTTGCCGTTAGGCAATGCCCCAAAACCTCCTCGCGGAGATGGGGGGATGGCGGCGCTAGACCTGTCAATAGATTTGGAATGGTAACGTCTATAAATAACACGAGTGTTTAATAGGTTCACAATTTACTTAGACCTAACTCATCCGTGTTGCTCTCTCGCTCATACTCGATCTCGCACTCGCTCGCTCCATGCTCTCACCTCAGTTAGGATATGAGTTTGGGTTAAATATATGGGTTATTAGATTTGCATTATATAAAAATGGGTTGGATCATTTTCGATCCAATCCATCTATTTGATGGGTCTAGGTGGCGCCAATGCACTCCCCTTCCATTGAGATGCTCTCAATTCAGGTGTCTACTTTGAAAAGTTTCCCATTACTTAAGAAAACGTATCTTGATCGCCTATACATTCTCGAAAAACCGTCCCTTTTCGCGTTTGCTTTGTAATCACTTCCAAGGTGACATCAAATTTGATCCAACCTATGTCGCAGTAAAAAATTATCCAAAGTCACTGTCACTAAGGAAGTCTCCTAGCCCTTCTCTTTCCCTCGCTCGTCCCACGATCTTGTTCTTCGTTCTTGGCTATTAGAAACCCATCAAATGCCACCCGTCAACCCATAACTTATCTAAGGAAGGGAATTATTCGAGATGCGCGAAAGCTTGGCTATTAGAAGCCCATCAAACGCTACCCGTCAACTTATGACCTATCTAAGAAAAGGAATTATTCGATATGCGTGAAAGCTGGTCAATCACCCAATCACTAAAATCCGAAAAAGAAGCGATTAAATTTGTTACTCAAAGAATCCAACCGTAGATATGCTTACCAAGATGACAAAGTTTGGCGTTCTTCATTGGCTTTGGCTCCCGTAGTTGTTGCCTCGGTTTGACCAACACCTTATCTTCAATACTACACTAAGGTGGTGGGTGTCCTAGTCAACACGGTCACTTTGCTAATCCATTACATCACGTCAAGACAACTATTTGCATGGTGCGATCCGCCAGAACTTTGCATAATACGTGACAATAGAACTTGATGGAGCCATCGCATGATCCATCAGCTCGATCGGAGGATTAGTCGAAAATGACAAGATTATTGGGGTTGTGTATTTGTTGCCTAATACATCCGTTAATCCGATGTAATATCCAAGGTTGTGAAGAAAAGATTTATGACCGCATAGATATCCCAAAAGTCGAGAACATATTAGATTTTAGCTTTTGGACTTTGTAGCATTGAAAGGCCAAAATTGGGAAAAGCAAAATGGTCATCTTGTTGATGAGATAAACGATAAATATTTTCATCGTTCATGAAAATTATTTAGACTTAAATTGTTGTCGATAATGAACACATTGTTTATTGACTAATTATTTAGGGCGATATGGACGGCTAGTTTTAGGAAAATATGTTTCGAAACTTTCATTTTCCGTGAAGCAAACAGACCCTTAAAGAAAAAAAAAAGACGACTCATGCAATTCGAAATTAGTTGCCCAATTATAGGAGCTCATATTGTTGTTTATTGGGACAAAATGCCAAAATAAACCAGATAATAAACATATGAAAAACTAAATAAAAGAAAGTTTCAGGCAGTGGAAATAGATTCAGTCCAAATTTAGGGAAAAAACTAAATTCTCACTTACAACTAGCAAATACTCATATTTGAGTAAGACCGTAGGAGTGGAGAAAATCATCTTTATGTACTTTTAATCTATACTTTTCTATATTATTATAAAATTTAAAAAGAATCTCCTACTTTTTAGGGATCGCAATTCTTTTTTCTTCCCCAAAATTTATTCAATTATTTAATTTATAAATATTCCATCAATTGATAGATTCGTAAAACAGAGTTAAAGTTTACGTTTAGCCTTGAACTCTTGGGTCTAATAAAGGGTCAATTCAAATATTGTTATTGCTCTAGCTAGACGAAAAGTGCATAGGTTGCATGTGAATAAAAAAAAGTGAGAACGTTTTGGAATTATTGAAAAGCTAATTAATTGAAAAGGTCGGTCTAATTGAAGAATATGAATTTAACATGTTATAAGAGCGGAAAGATAAGAGATTAACGGCATACTTTACCTTTATCTCAATCTCAAATTAGGAAGGTGAGGCATTCACGGCTTACTTGGTCTGCGTTCGTTTTGCGGAAATGAGTGATATGGAAAATATTTTCCGAAAAATAATTACTTATATCGTTTAGAAAAATAAATAAATAAATAAAATTTCATCGCCTACGAGAATAGTTATGCTTAGATTGGTATCAATGATGAAAGTATTTTCCATTGACCGATTTATCTAAATGATATAAGTAATCGTTTTTCAGAAAATATTTTCAAATCACTCATTTTTCGCAAAACGAACACACCCTTAAACTATGGTTAAAATACGCACTACGGACATGCGTATGATTACGTAATTATGTATCAAAAGAAAATGAGTAGCTACATATGAAATAAGTAGTACGAGATAAAGAAAGTAAGGATATTTTTTTAGGAAGTCTGAAAGCGAGGAGAGAAAAAAAAAGTGGGTGGTTTTATATGACATGGGTTATTACCGTAGAAAGAAATAAATAGTAAATTAGGAAATCTAAAGGTGAGACAAAGGGTGTTTTGGCCAATATATATAGATTATCTTAGAGGAGTAGATAAGGATTGGATAAATTAGTAAACATAAAGCATAGAAGGAGTCAAGCACAAACAAAGCAAAAAGAAGAGGAGCAACGTGAGAAACACTCGTACTTGTTAAATAAAAAGTCGGAATAAACATCATTATCTCGACTAAAAAAATGTTCACAGGATCGTGTGAGCTTTGCATTATCTTTTTTTTTTTCTTGTCGATCGATATATTTCAATCGGAACGTATCGAAATGTTAGGAATTTTAATATCCAAAAAGGGAGGGAATTGTGGGAAACGCTAGGATTAGAATATAAAAGCAAAGTGAAACATCGATTACTTGAGATTTGCCACTTGATCTTTTCTAATAGAGACGCTAGGTAGCATTAACTATTGTGCAAAAAAAAAAAAAAAGAAATTCCAAGGACTATGTACCACATGTGCTACACGTGAATACGTACAAATAGGCTAAATAGCTATTAACATTTTCTTATATGATTCTAATAAGGGTGCTCATCCCACGTGAAGCAATTGGATCCGAGTTCCAAATGTAATCTACATTGAATACTAGCTACAAATACTTTTCCTATACTAATTCTAGTCCGGAAAGATCGGTACATTCGTAACCTTTATAAAGGTTTTTGAATACAGAATTAATTGCCTATTTTTTTATGAGTTAATACCACGAAAAACCTCAAACTGGTACACTTGTGACAAATTTATCATAAACTAATTTTTTGACTATCAAAAACCCCGAACCGGTACACTTGTGACAAATTTACTCTCCATTAATTTTCGTTAAATTTTATTATCAAATTGCTAAGTTGAATGACGGGTGGTAGTCAAAAGGTGTACTGGTTTTGGGTTTTATCCTTTGTTTATCATAGGTGTACTGGTCTGTAATTTTTCGTGCTATTAATTCAATTTAACGAATGGTAAATTTATCACAAATATACAAGTTTGGGATTTTTTGTGGTCAAAAAATTAATTTGGGGTAAATTTGTCATATGTGTACCAGTTTAGGATTTTTGATGGTCAAAAAATTAATTTAGGTTAAATTTGTCACAAGTGTACAAGTTTAGGATTTTTTGTGATATTACCCCATTTTTTATTCAAATAATTTGAGTGAATCTAAGTTTCAAAGTTGAAATGTAAATTTCAATCTATAATTATCTAGCCGATCTTAATCGTATGTGTGTTTTTTCCAGAATAAATTTGTAGGTTTCTAAGGCGAAACATCACTTATTTTGTGCTTTCCCAATTTAATTCGAATTGTAAGATGAAGATTGAAAATCTAGTTACACCTTCTTCACTTTCAGACTCCCATTGTATTCCAGAGTAAAGTTTTAAGAATATTTTTGAAGGTTTAATCCACTTGCTATTACATTGAAATTATAATCGATATTAATTACTTTCTCCATGATAGAAGTAGAACAAGAAGAAGTCTCTTTTTTTCTTCTTTGTACCTTATCATTTGTTTCGATGTGGTCTAATTATACACATGTTTAATGTTTGATCATGCTTCTAAGAAATTAACCTATCCATACTTCGATCATTTTTTTCCATTTTTGATCGACATAATTAGATTGAAATTTAATTTTCAACTTTGAAATATAGTTTCACTCAAATTATCTAATGAAAAAGAGGCAATTAATTGTGTTCATAAGCCATCATAAATAAAATTTTCTAATCTTCTATGTAGCATTGATTACTAATATGATACCATAAATTAAAATTAATAACTTCTCTAAGCAAAGTGATCACATGATCCAATTGCGAAACTGATGAGAGAAATGATAAAAATAAAGTTAGTTTTGTTGGTGCGTTCGATGAAAAAAGGAAATGATACTTTGAAGAGGGGATAAGTGTACTAGAAGTCCTAAAACTTGTCAGGAAAGTGCAATTGAGTCCTAAAACTTTCAAAAAATGAGATCAAGTCCTAAAACTTGTCACGAAAGTACAATTAAGTCCTAAAACTTTCAAAAAGTACAATCAAGTCTTAAAACTTATCACGAAGGTGCAATCAAGTCCTAAAACTTATCACAAAGGTGTAATCAAGTCCTAAAACTTTCAAAATGTACAATCAATGGAAGGACTTGATTGAATCAATTTGACAAGTTTTAGGACTTGTTTGCACTTTCGTGATAAGTTTTAGGACTTGTTTGCACTTTTTGAAAGTTTTAGGACTCAATTACACTTTCCTAGCAAGTTTTAGGACTTAATTGCACATTATAAAAGTTTTATAACTCAATTGCACTTTCGTGATAAGTTTAGGACTTTGAATGCACTTATCGCCTTTGAAGAGAGAGAGAGAGAGAGAGAGAGAGAGAGAGAGAGAGAGAGGCATTTTGGTCAATTACTTTAAAAAGGAGCGTTTTAGTCAAAATAAGGGTGGAAATAGCACCGCCCTTGCAAAATTGAACAAAATAAAAAGATATTGCTAAAAGAGTGAAAATAATGAGTAATATATAATTAAACACTTTCATAGTTTCATTTATACTAGTTTGGGGTTTAATGAAGTCATTTTTGTGCGGGATGGTCCCCCTTTGTATTCATACTTTCATGACAAATTGATGTAGGACTCCTCCCCACAATCTCAGTGACTGAGGGGTCATTCGATCATTTTACCTAATAATTCATGCCAAGTTTACCCTACGTTAATCAAAGTAGGAATCTTAGATTGCAGGTGGAATCCAAAAGAAAAGAGTCTCATCTCTCTCCATTCCTGGCGAGTAGCCGGCCGACGACAACACCAGAAGAAAGAGCAGATTACTTCGGTAGACAGAGATGGCTGGAAGAGCAATTTACCGATAAGAATGCAGAAGGAATGGAGAATGGCCTTGTAGATGACTTCAACTGATTATATCAAGAATGCCTTTCTTGGAGCCTTGTCTACGACGTTATGTCTTAACATTGTACAGTCAACGTTTTTATACTTTACCACGAGGATATGTCGTAAAGTGGCACGGCACACGAGTCGTACCATGGAAGTGGTGAACTCGAGTGAGAGATTGGTAACTGTCGCATCACGGCTTTATCACAATTACAAGGCCATAAGCACTACGATATTTACTTGTTATGCTGTGATCTCTATAAAAGGTCTATTACATGCAGACAAAGGTTATCAATTCGGGGCTGTATCGCCGTGTTCACCTTAGCACGGGTTGTTTCCAAAATGTTTCAATCGGATGAATAAATTGTTTTTTCTCTGGTCAAAATGTGTAGATTTCGAGTCTCTCACTAAAATTATGTGGTGGTAGAGTTGTCTCTTTCTTCTCGTTTCGTGTTAAGAATCGACAAGCCTACTTTCAAGGGGTCACGGATTCTTTCCCCCCAAAAAATATAGGATGACCTACTTGGGGTGATGGCCAGAAATGGAGTGGGCAGGAATACTCATATCAGTGAGGACTGAAGACCCATAAACTGCATGAATAATGGCAGTTAGAGAGGCCTTGACACAAGCAGATAGCCAGGGATGGCAAGAAACAGCTGATAATGGGGACTACACTCAGGGCTGCTTAGCTGAGATTTTGTTGTCAGAAATGAGAAAGGGAGAGCAAAGAGACTTATGAGAATGATGTTTCAGTCAAATAGAAGAAGTGCTAGTGAACGTGCAAGTCAGGTTGCAGTCCATTTAAAGAAGATGATCGATCTAGTCGATTGGGTCGATGACCCTCCCGTCTTCTCTGTGGGATCTTTGCATGTGCTCTTGTTAGGAATGATCCCTGTTGATGAAGAAGACCACCACATAACATGTGTTGATGGAATCAACTGTACGTTTTACTAGCTATACAAGTACATAATGACTGCAGGAAACACTGCCACATCAAAATGGGTGAGTAATCCAAATGACCAAGTAATAGTTTCTCTGCATTCAGCAATATATTCATGTGAATCTCACAACAAATTCAGGGCCTAAATCAATTTTATTTACTCATTCTGCATTAAAGAAGCCCTAGCTTCTTGCTTCAGACTTTCTCGTGTATAGATTGCCTTTTCTGCTCAGCAACATGATGTAACTAGAACCTCACATATAGAATGTGGCCATACCATGGTTTTGGTGACCCAGTGGAAGTTGATCACATCATGCCAAAGCAGAGCCTCTCTCTGTAAGCACAATTAGGTTAAACAACTGGATGCACCAGTTAGGGGTAGAAATTTCAGTCTGTCCTGCACATCAGAATGTAACGATCTCAAGCTCGTCAAGGAATTCTGCACTTAAAATCTAATCTATTCAAGCCATGATGAAGGTTTTAGTAATTACCCATTGAGTTTACTAGGATGTGGACAGTCAACTGCAATGTAAAGTGGCAACTTGCATCATTAGGTCGAAGATTCCTCAGGGGAAACTGCACTTTCATTGTTAAGCACTTGATAATGTGTCAGGTTTCCATCCTCAATGGCATGTACAACTTCAGGTTCCTTCTCGCTGGACAACGAAAACACCATCAACTTTGCACGAAAACACTTTCAGAACGAGGCACATCTATATAAAACTTAAGCACTCTTGTGGGGTCATAGTTTAAAGGATCATACAAATTGATGCTGTCCCAACTCATATATTAACCAGCAAAAGATGCCACCATCATTGCAACTTTAAGCATGACATTCCCTAACTGGTTTTTCCAAGCAGGATAGATGGAGTTACACTTCCCTCCTAATGTTTTGAAACTTCTGTTATTAAATATAATGATGTAACATGAGTAGGTCAAAAAATGGGATGATCTCTCATACTTTAATTACTCTAAGTAAATGGCATGGGATGCTTAAGACTAGAGAGTGAATTGCAGTCACAAATAGTCATGTACAGACCCCGTAAGAATTCCTTTGATTCAACAAGACAAAAGAAAGCACCCCGGATAAATTCAGCCAACCGATAACCATAAACACAGGTCCTTTGATATTGCCTTTATTGTCTTTATCTTTGATTAATGCTAGAGATACAAAGGTTGGTTTACAAAACAATTCACAAATTGATGCAGGAGAATCTTATTAATGCCGAATATTATCTACTTGTTTAAATTCTCACATATAGTTTGTCACACAGTTTATAACAACTCTTTGAATCCCTCTCATATTAGGGTCGGTTTGTTTAGAATTAAGTTCCAATAAAAAGTACTTTTTGACTCATGCCAAAAACAAATTATCCAAATATAGAAAAATTATCAAAAAAATATGTCAATCTACGTTTCCACATTTGCACATTATGAAAATTTTAAGTGCTTAGGATTAATAAGAAGTCAAGTGCGTGCGTCACAAGATTTAGATTAAGCAAAAACAAAAGGTAAATGTACATCCAGACACACCCTTACTCTTTTATCTTTTTCAGGTTTTCATTAAATGGAGGCATGGCCTTTCTATTTGGGGTCACTCATTGTTTTGGGATTACAACCCCAGGCTCTCTTCGGAATGGATGGTGGTTCACTGTCTTGACTCGAGTTATTATCTAAGAGTCAGATCGCTTCTTAGCCAACCGATTGAATGAGAAAGAACGGAATTTCTAGCTATTATTCAAAAGAAAAAGAATCAAAGGTTACGCTCCTCGAAGCAGGTTATTTTTCTAAACTGCAATCAAAGGTTAGTGCTAACGAGCACAAGTTGCTCAATAATTCAGTTACTTCATCTTGACAGAATTTCTTTCCTGTGATGGATACTTGCACTTGGCCAATGGAAAATGGTCGATTGGCTGGGATACGCATGAGAATATGCACCATAAAGTTGCATCTATGCAAGAAATACAGGCATATCGAGGACTGTAAACTAAAAAAATGGAGAGGAACATTCTGTGGATACGACATGACACGTACTTTTTCGAGTAAATGACCAAGCCAACTACCACGATGGCGAAAGCAAGATAGTATAACCAGTCAACCTGAAAGAAGGGTGAATATTGATCTGGTTATGCAGGTACATAATGCTATCATGGTGTCAAATATGAAACTAAAAGCTGCCGATGGAAACCAAATAATGTGAATGATTGTACCTGCTGATTATAGATGAGGATGCGTACAACAACTGCCCACATATCAGATGTGAGTAGAGAGAGATTGAACATTGCGGCTCCACTCATCTGTAGGCAACTTATTCTCGTTAGAGATACGGAGATTTACTTCTTAGCAAACATTTAGTGAAGGATGGCTTTATCTCATTTCTTTTGTCATTATATTAGAGATCTCACCATAAGATTACACCAAAAATATATATATTTCCAATAAAGATGGAAGAAGATGCAGAGCGGTAAATAATTGCATCAATCACAATGTTTCATATGGCTGCCATGTACATCAGAGGAGGAGAAAAAATGAACTTAACTCGAACTATCATAAGTCTAGGAAGATATTTGATACTTTCTGTCAGGACAATTCAACATTAGCTCTAAAGTAGATCGTGGGAGTGTACATATGTACATAACCACACTGCAAGATTTACTGGCACCAAAAGAGCAAGAGTACCTTCAGGACTGAAGGAGCAAATGTGTAGAATGCAAAGCATGACAGAGCATAACCAACAAAAGCTAGTACCTGAAACAGAAGCAGAGGGCTTAGAAATCGAAATCGAGGGCAAAGTACTGGAGAATCTGAGATGTGCAAGTCAATGGAACACGAGGTACAAAGAGCAAAATATACTCACGGAACACAAAGTCTACTACCAGTAATCGGAGGTGGTACCATAAATTAAGGTATGTCCAGAGAAAAGACAGGAAGAATGTCAACTTGATATGCCATTCGTAAGCATGCTTAATTTTCTAGGTAAAAACTTATCAGCCAAAAAAAAAGTTGAAATTACCACTCTCTTGACATTTACACCACTCATGTTTTCATGAAAGTTTGTACTATATGCCCTTTCAAGTAATGGCTAGAACTCAATGATACCCTTGCCAGACAGCTACAGGCATATCGTTTTTTTTTTCCTTTTGGGGGGAGCCAAACATGCATATTGGTTGATGTTGTCATTAAGAAGAATGACTCATTGGTGGATTACCAAAATAACAATATTTAAATGGATAATTGAAAAGGCACAAGATGATTTTAGTTAGGAGGCTTTCCTACTGTACATTGACTCAAAAGGCCATAATTGAACTTTAAACAATTTGAACAAGAATAGTGATGAGGAGGTTTAAAAGTACTTCTTACTCACAAGTTCTGTAGACCACGTGATAGATTCAATACTCTGCCTTTCAAAAATGGATCTAATCAGAATTAAGGAATAAGATTAATGTCACCATCCAGTAGCATAAGTAACATTCCCCAACCATATTCGCAACATATGAATGAGATACAAATCACTGACTGCAAGAGAGTACAAGCAGGTCGAAGCTCAAGCTTTAGATGGGACACTTTCTGTAAATAAGCACCCGCATTTCCAGCATCTATTTTCTAGCACCAACATGGAGGATACATCTCAACCACACTGACTAGTGATCCATAAAGTCCAATCATGGACACTACTTCCACTAGATCCTTTTTCTTTACGCAGAATTCCTGCAGTACTAAAAAGGAAAATGAGGAATTAATAAGTCTATGAGAAACTTAGAAAAGGTTAATCAGAGTCTTTGGAGTCTGAGATATTCCACGTATATCGCCATCTAAAAACTGAAGTAGATTACATTAGCATTCACTGACCTCACCGACATTGCTAATGGCATAGAAGACAGTCCCACCAATAACAAGTATGTCTCCCAAAAGAGGTTTTGAACCGCCTGAATAGAAAATTCTGATCATACATTTGGATTGATGTTGTATTTTACAAAGAAGATGACAATTTTCTTTGATAAACATGTCGAATTGCTATGACTCTAGAGAACCAACTGACAGTTGAGACCAAAATGTCCATATGCTATCAACATGAACTAATCCAAGATAATTTGTGTGTCAACTTGCAAGTTCATCTTGTATGCAGAAGTTGGAAAAACGTTTGGTTCAAAATAATAAATCTATCACCTCCTCCTCCCACTCCAGCATCAGACAGAAGCACTAAGCCAAGGCCTAGAATACACAATGCGGCTCCAAACAACTGCAACAGCGAGTACCGAGTTCCTAGAAACACCCAGGTCAGGACTAGGACCCACGCTATTGTCCAGCAATCCAGAAGTGTCACACTCGTAATCGATGAGTACTGGTATGCCTTGTTAACTGCCATCAAGAAGTGTGAGTGATAAGTAAACTGTAAAAAGATGCCATTCCTTATGGGCAGAGAATCAAGTTCCTGTACAGACAAAACGCGAAGGGTGATTTTGCGTGATTTGTGTTACTTCACTGCTAATCGGACAATGGTACTGCCGTTCAATTGCTTAAAGAGAAATTGTTTTTCTCGGGAAGAGAGAGAGAGAGAGACCTTTTCAACTCACCCAAATAATTTCCTTGGACGTCAACTATTCCCAAAAGCAGATACCAGTACCATGAAACCTGTCAAAAATAAAAATCTCCTAAAAGATGAAATTCCATATCAACGAGTTGCATGTTAGATTCAGCATTTGAACTTGCCAACCGAGTGAAAAACATGCCAATTTCTTAACAGAGCACAGTAGCTTGGCTTGGCCGAAGTCTCGTACTTAAAAACTGATTGACTCTCTGTACACGGAGAAGAACAAAACAGCGAACATACCAGAAGCCTGCGTCGCCTGTAAAGCAAGATGCTTCCGAAAACCAGAGCCAGAGCTAAATAAGCAAAGAACATCTGAGTGAGAGGCGCATCCACACCTGCACAAATTTCGCCAAAAACCAAGACGACTTGACTCGAATCATCACATTAACGCATTCTATCATTCACCGTCATGGCAAATTTCAAGAAACCAAGTAATGGGACAAAAAAAACTAGTACTCTCTTTCAGTTGTTACCGAGATCAGCTATCAGAGAAGAAGAGAAGCTCCCGAGTGCCATTACGAAAGAGACGACCTGACCCAGGAAGAGAAGGTACACCATTCGCCACGTCCCGTGGCTTCTCCACCAGCTGCTCACGGCGTCGAAACAGGTCATTCTTTCAAAACTTGGCCCGACCCAGAACAGAACAAGATCACCTATAACCGAAAGATTGGACCTTTCGAGTGTCTCAGCAGCGAGAACAACGTATAACTGCAACCCTTTATCCACTGTTGCATCTGCTGATAACTACCGACTCGTTATATCTACCATTCTTTGGGTTTGGTTTGGGTTCTTGAAGGCCGAGTGTGCGGCAGAGTAGGTGTTCAACAACGTCGGCAGACGCGAAGGCAACTCGTTGGGCAGTAGGCGCTTCGGTTGGGCCACGATGAGATCTCAGTTCCGTACAAGCATCAATTTCTTCTGGCGTTATTGCCCAAGCCTCGCGTGCGTTTTACCTTGAAATTTCTATGAATTACTTGTTGATTGTTACTTCAATTATTACTAAAAACTCATATTGTACTTTTGCACATTCTAATTCTATGAATGTGAGAATTGGTTCTTATGTGTTGTAAGTAGCGGAACTAAATATATACGGGAAAATTTTTACCAGAAAAATCTTAAACCTATTGCAATTGTGCCAATTCAGTTTTAAACCTTTTTTTGGCCAATTACATCCTAAATATTTTGCATTTTTGCCAATTCAGTCCATCCGGCCAATTTTAACCGTAAACCACTGACAGGGATTTCGGCCATCCTACGTGGTGAGCCGGCACTGACGTAAGCAATTTTTAATAATATTTTAATATTTTTTGAATTTTATTTATTTATTTATTTTCTTTTTTTTTTTTTTCTTCCTTCTTCCTCCGGCCGGTCGCCAAACCTCGGCGACCGACCAGAGGTGAGGGGGCTGGGCAAGGCTCACCCTAGCCAGACAGAGGAAGAAGGAAGGAAAAATAAAGGAAAAATAAAATAAAAATATAGAAAATATTATAAAAATATTCCACATCAGCATCGCCTCCGTCACGTAGAACTGCTAGCATCCATGTCAGTAATTTCCAACAAAAATTATCCGGATGGACTGAACTGACACTAACGCAAAATGTTTAGGACTCAATTAGCAAAAAAAAAAAGTTTAGGATTGAATTGGTACAATTACAATAGGTTTAAGACTTTTTTGGAAATTCTCATATATATATATATATATATATATATATATATATATATATACACGTATCATATAGTTGAGAATTTTGAAGTACTTCTTTCTTATTATATTCTCTTGCACTGTGCAAAGTCGAATCAATTTTATTATGTGCACATGAATCATGACATGGTTAGATATTTTAAAATATTTCTCTCTACTTCATAACTACCTCTACCTAGCATAGTCAATTTAATTGCTTATATGCTAATACAACTAAATATTTATATGCACATTTCGAATTTAAAAGAATTTCCTTTAATTATCACTTTGCTGGGAGAACTCCTTAATTTATTTTTTCGAAAAAGAAAGGTCTCATCCCATTTAATTTAGTTTAATTTCCATTGTTCACCTACTATAACATATATGTAAACATACAAAACATTGATTTTTATTTGAAAAGGAAACGATCCATTAGCCTGATTCTATCTATTTTAGTGCATTTTACTTTCAAAAGTCTATCTTACTATAATATGCTAATAATAATACATAGTCAATTTAATTGCTCATATGCTAATAATAATACAACTAAATATGTATATGCACATTTGAAATTTAAAAGAATTTCCTTTAATTATCACTTTGCTGGGAGAACTCCTTAATTTATTTTTTCGAAAAAGAAAGGTCTCATCCCATTTAATTTAGTTTAATGTCCATTGTTCACTTACTATAACATATATGTAAACATACAAAATATTGATTTTTTGAAAAGGAAAAGATCCATTAGCCTGATTCTATCTATTTTAGTGCATTTTACTTTCAAAAGTCTGTCTTACTATAATACTAGTGCTAGGGTCCATCTTCGCACGGGTTTTATCTTTAATTGTTTTTAAATATTACACTTTTAAAAAAAAATCACATTATATTGTGTAGCCAAATTAATTTTGTATGTGAATATGAAACATGGTATAGTTAAATATATGGAAGTATTTCTCTCTACTTCATAATTATTGCACATAATCGATTTTATTGCGTGTACAAAAATAACAATATGAATAAAAATTTGTATGCACGTCAACGTTTCGAAGATATTCCTTTAATATTTCACTTTTTCAGCAAAAATATTAAACTTCTATGGGAAAATGGATGGACTTGTTCCTTTAAATTTAGTGCACTTCATGTCTAAAAGTCTATTTTCTTTCAACTTTCACTATCTCAGCAAAACCATACAATTCTATTTTGAAAAAGAAAAGACCCATTCCATAAAATGTAATGCACTTAACGTGCAGAATTCCATCTTACCATATTTTATTGATTTGATGCTATTATTTGTCTTCGGGCCAAAAATAATTCTATACAAATTTCTCAATTCTAATGTGAATGGCTTGCTTTTCACCGGATTGAGAGAATGGAGCGAGACGTGGCTTGAGGTCAAAAGGAAAATAGCACAAAGCTAGGATCAGCATTCACGGCAGAAAATTATGAAGATAAAGAGTAGTTTAACAGTGAAATTTAAGGGCAATTTGGGGGCTGTAAAACTCCATCAACCTGATTGTCAACTAAAGTGATATCGACTTTGATGACCATGATGGACCCTGTGGTCTGATGAAGTCCCACGCCATTCCCCTGCACGAACTTCAAAAGCTAATGGTCCCATGAATCTCTCAAACAGTCCCACTCAAATGTCAAATCTCACATGCCTTTCCCAACCTTCAATGCATGGGACGCAACCCCTTTTGAAAGCTCGACCGTGGAGGTCGCTTTCGAGGTCATTTGCACATGCATAGAAGTCCAATTTGATGCCGACATGGTGACCTCACTCCCACTTTTCAACGTATTGATGACTCATTGGATTGGTGCACATATCTACATGTCAAAGTGAGGCTTCCCAAAGAGAAGCTGCTTTCTTCCAAACTTTTTTTTCCAAGCCAAGTGACCATTTTTCCCCATTTTCAAAATATATTTTCTCTCTTTTTCTTGAAATTAAAAGAAGTACTAATGCAGGATTGAATGGAAACCATCGACTTCGAGATGTGTAACCACTTTTGTAAAAAGTGATAATTTTACCGCATCACATTGCTTCTGGATTTAGGCAAAGTCACTTATATTATACGACAAAATCACCGAACGCAAACAAGAAGTAATACGAGTGTTATTTACTTTTAATTTCTCTCGAATTTTCTTGAAAATGTTCAAAATGAAAAAAATCGATTGACGAACAGATGACAACATGGAAGATGATTGTGTGCAGTTGTAACAACATGTAAAGCACTCGCCCCGTTATCTTGTTGTATCTCTTAAATGAAATGGTGTATTTTCTTAATTCAAACGAGTGCGGTCTATAATCATTTGGGACTTCTTACGTTTAATGATAAATTAAGGCGTTGACATGTCCATCGTTATTTGATGACAGAGATTGTTATATCTTGATTTGAGATAGATGTCTTACTTGGATAATTCATTTATAACTTTTTTTTGTCCACGTCCAAACTTAACTGATTGAAAACCACATCAATAGATTTCGTAAACTTAAATTAACGATAGGACGATATTGAACATTTTTTTATAATTTAGATATCAGATTGAGCATTTACTAATAGTTCAAGGATCAAATTGATCAAATTAAAAGTCCAAAGACGACATTGTTTAATACACCAAAGTTCATATACCATTTGTGTCATTTTTCCCAAACCGATAACATCACACAGAATACAACATCCCATTAGTACTCTCAAGTCCTTATATTTCCTCCAAGTTTTCATGAACATTTTACAAAAATAAACCACACAACCTCACTCCCCATGTTCATATAGATCAAGTTCCTTTTGCTTGCTTCAATAGGCACTTTTATTTTTCATTTCTAAATTTCAACAAGATAAATTGGGTAAGAACATACATTGTTACATCCTTACCTCGAGGTTAATGCGACATTACAGACACGTCGCCGTCCCGTTTCTTTTATCTTCACATTAATAGCATGACGTCCTATTCAATTTTATCTTATCGTTACGAACAAGCGAAAGTATAAACTCGGGACAATCAAACAAACAACGGGGTTAAGATAAACATCATGAGCAAACCTTAAATTTACAGGATGACCTATTTATTACATGAGTGTATTCTACAAACCCATTTCTACGGGCTTTTTCCCCTTTTCAATACACTACATGTATCCACGTAAGATGGGGGAAATTCCTATCTTCTCTAGCGTGACTACAGCTCCCAAAATTGGTGTGAGATTTTCATACCTACAAATCTAAAAAATAACAGAGTGAGTCAAGGACTCAGTAAGTAAAACTCACTAAACTCCAGATAGGAGGACGCCTCGCCATCGAACTAATCACATGTCATAGACACATCAATTGATAGCATATCAATAGCAAAGATGCTTCAAACACACTTGTTTTTGTGCATAAGATGATCTCAACTTGCCTTTCTATTCAAGTAACAACATCTCAACTAAAAGCATGCATACGAGGGATTCATTATCTCAATCGTTAGTACGGTTCTTTTGGAAATTCTCTGGACAACGTCCCCTAATCCAATGGCGACGGCTATTCATCCATACTTAATCGGGCAACGTCCCCTAATCAAGGGCGACAGCTATTCATCCGAACTTAATCGGCAAAGTCCCCTAATCAAGGGCGACGGCTATACCTTTCCCTTGTGCGAACATGCCAACAAGCATTAAACCAATTTGAGTACTTCACACGAAGTGCGTATCATGCAATGTTGCCTCTAAAGTCTTAAGTCATGCCGAGCACGAAACCAAGCTCGTGGCCCAAACCGACTGGTCATGGCGCCAACCTATACCAAGCAAAGCTTGGATCGGTACGCCTCAATATCGATCCTCCAAGCAAGGTTCGTTTCGACATGTCTTGACGCCGATCTGAACCAAGCGAGATTCATTTATGGCCCGGGGCGTGCTCTCACACATGACACCGAATACATGAGCAAACCTTACAAATTGCATAAACATGCGTAGTAAGCTATATCAAGCATTTCACAAACAACGGAATCCACGCAAGTACAACAAGAACATGACTCGCCCAACAAT